GCGTCCTCAAAGATGGCTTCACTTACGTTCTGTACATCAATGGTGGGCACCCTCCATGGACAATCTTATATCCTTTGCTGGTGGTCTGGCAAGCTGTGGGATGCTGCTCATGATCTGGTCTGTGGTGTTTTGAGAAGCCATGCACCACGTTGCATGAGCATAGGTCAGGGACTGGTGCTTGGCAGCTCAGGGCAGGGCGAGAGCCCCTTCATCCTACCGAGACCCAGGCTGGCACTGATGGGGGGGGGGTCTGGCCGCTGCTGCAACCAAATAGGACTCTCCTAATATAGACATTGTACCTGAGACAAAATGTCCAGTGCAATGCAAGATGCAATATATTGAAAGAAGTTAAATTACTGCGTATTTGCTTACTCTCCTGGGCCTTGCACCCCTTCCAGAATAGACTTCATTCTCATATTTTGATAATCTGCAGGGGAAAGAATTCCTACCCTTGCGGAGCTGCCACCTTTCTGTGTCTATTATTGACAAACAAGTAATAATTGCCAGGTGTGCTCATGTTTGACTTTTAAGACTGTGGTTATGGATTGCCTCTTTAGTAGGGCCCAAGTGTCTTGGCCTTGAGAGGCACAAAGTCCAAATTATAATCATGATGCACGTTACATGGAAATATTTATGCTTCTCCCCTGAGGCACCCTGAGCAACCCCAGTGTCCTGGGGGTGGGGACCCAGAGCACATTAGAGTTTGCAGGTGATGGACCCTCTTTCCATGGGAAGCAATATTTCCCAAAGAACTTGCCCTGCCGCCAAAGTGTCTTGCTCTAACATGGAAGTTAGAGCTTGTTCATACTGGCGCTCTGTGGGCCTGAGTCTGCTGTGCTACTGATCTGACACCCGCAGCGCTGTCCAGCCGCTTGTGTGCTCGTTCCCTCTTCGTAAAATGGAATGCTGAGACTCCTCCCAGAGGGAGCAGCAGCGATGGCACTTGCTGCTGCTGCTTCTTTGGCTTAGCCAATTCAGCTGTCTCAGTCTTCATTGTTGGGGCTCCTTAACGGCAGTGCACTGACTATCTTCAGCACATCGGATCGACCTTGGCCAGTCTGAGCCCCTGCACAATTCCCCAGCGGATCTACCGCCAAGCCCAGAGCCTCCTCTGCAGTCTCTTGCCATGGTCGGGCATTTCAGCAAAGAGTGGCATTGAATATAGCCGGACAATGTGATTCTAAGGTAAGTTGCAGCCTGGTCATGCCATTTCCCTGTCCTGTGGGTGCTCCTTGTGGTGGGAGCAAGAAGTGGAGGCCACCCTGGCACCCACTGTTGTATGCTCTGTTTAGTAAAATGTAAATTTAAGATGCAAGTGCATTAGAACTAGTGCAGGCTCCACCTTGAATGTGGCACGATACTTGTTCTTTGATGGTTCTGAACAGTGGTTCTCTTGTAGGCAGGTCCTTCTCTATGTGATGAAACGGACAACGGTTTTGCTCACTGATCCATCCCATGAACCTGGATGCCCCTCTGTGAACTAGCCAAGACTTGGCAGATCTTCTCATCTTGCTGGGCTCTCGTTTCCCGTGTTGCCCCAGGGCTTAAGGAAGAGTTTGGAGGTTGACAGTCATGGTTCTCCCGTAGATGCTCCTCCTCCTCCTGCGCTGTAGGTGAGCGGCTGTTCATCCTCCAGCCAGTCTTTCAGCGGCTGCCCGAGAGACACCAGGTGTGCTCCAAGCCCTCTGCTTGGGGTGAGGATGGACCTTGCACAAAAGAGAGGAAGACTGTGTTGATTTTTTCCCTGATGCTGTGACTAGGAGCAGAGAAGGCCGATGCAGGTTTTCACTCCTTTGGTGTAAAAGTTGTGGCTTCATAAGCTGCACTTCTATTTTTGTCGGCTGCTGGGAAGCCCAGAGCTCCAGCGCCTCCCCTCTCACACGGGCTTCCTTTGCCTGGGGGTGGTTTTAAATGAAGCATCTTGGATTGGCTGTTTCATAGTGAAATGGGTTGGTGGGTGTGTATTTCTCAACATACACTGTGTATATAGAATTCTGCCTGTAGTCTGAGATAGAACTCAAGACCTGTGGATGCTGTGAAGGTGTGGGAAGATCTGACTTGAGGAATTCACCTTGCTGTGGAAACTCAGGGGGCCCTTCACTTCCTCCTTTGCTGAATCTTCCGGTGGGAGCCTGAAGTGCTTGACTGTCAGTTTCCCCAGTGTCCCAAGGTATAATTGTGGAAATGGGTCTCCCAACGAGGTTGCAGCCAGGGTTGAGGACGTACAGAGGAAACACTTGCTTTGCTGCAAGGCAGAAGTCTCACCTTTGGTTCCTGCTGGCTGTTGAGGCACCTTGGGGGCCTTCAATGGATGCTTTTTGTTTGCCACGTTTTGCACACGACACCCGTTCCCCATTTAGCTTTTAACCCTTGGCTCTGCTGCCCAAAGGTGCGTGGTGTAGCCCTCTGGTCCCTCAAGCGTGGGCTGGGGCACAACTGCACTGCACTGCCCCATCTGGGCTTTGCGCCACAGCTATCCACTATGGCTGCCCTAAAGGCCAGTAGGATAAGGTGCTTGGCTCTTGTGCAGAGCACCTCTCTGGAGAAGGAGTGCTTTGCAGAGAGCAGCACCGACAGGGTTATGACTTCTCTGATTCTCAGGAGGCATCTCCCCACTATATGACTGCAATGAAGTCAAGGTGTGCTGGATGCAGGGCAAACAGCCTGTCCCTCTGCTGTCGTCTTCTGGGAAGAGTTGCCAGCATCCGAGTGGACCCTTGGAACAGTGCCAGCGAGCTCGTCTTCTTAACTATGCTGCTCTGTGAGCCCAGAACTCTGAGCTAGGAGGCCCCTGCATGACCAGATGCCTCTTCCCTCCCTTCCAGAATGCCCTTTTGTTTACCCCCCAGTTGAGATTATACAAAGCTTGATGAAGCAGCAGGTCTGAATTTCCAGTTGGAATTAGAAAGCAATATAGATCTCGCCACATTTGCAGCAGAAAGATGCTGAGATATTGCAGTGTCTATCAGATGATGAAGGGCCCACGGTCTCCCCTGCCCCAAAGGGGTCCCTTCCCCCAATATTGGCTTAATCTGACTGCATGCTCAGCTCTGTTCTGAGACTTGCACTTTTCGATTTTAAGGAGTAAAACAACTCTTAGGTTTCCTCTTCCATCATGTAGCTGTTTATCTAATCGGAAGGAGGATTCAGAAGCCTAGGCAGGTGCTCCCTATCTATGTATGGCTTTGAGGAAAAGAGCTGCCTCTTTAAGAGGAAGGGTAGACACAGAACCCCTCCACTGTGTCTGGTCACCTGGCTCACGAGGGACTGTGACGGTCCAGTTTCCCAAACTCAACAGGTTAGCCATAGTGGTGCTGGCTTTGGCAAGGCTTCAGTGGTACTTCCTGCCATTTAGGGCTTGATAAAATGTTACCTGCCTTCCAGTAACGATCAAGAACCCCCATTATGCTACAGAGGGCAGAAATCTTCCAGAGCTTTGGCTCTCAAATTAAGAGGCACATCCCTGGCAGGCTGAGCTGACACTTGGGGTGCTTCCTTGCCCCATGGATTGATTGCACTGGGAATGCTGCCCTTTGCATAAAAGGCAGGGAGGGTGTCACGTCCTCCAAGGGCCCCCAAGCTTGGATTTAGGAAAGTCCATTTAAATAACAATCATTGTGTGTGATTTTCTTTTAAGTGTGTGTTGTGGTGGGTTTTTGTTTCGTTTTGAAACTTTCCTTTTGCCTGAGAATGTCCTGAGCTGTTATTGTTTCCATGTGTATTTTGGTTTTCTTTTCATGCTTTGGTATACTCCTTGTCTGAGCTCTTTGTGGCTCTTGTATGCCTGCCTGCCTGCTTGCCTGTTGTCTGTGCACACACTACTCCTAAACAGATGGCTTCAGGAAAAGGAAACAAAAGGCCTCAGCTGTGGGCCTGCCCCCTTTGAGAAGACGGTGGTGTTCGCCACAACCCTTATTTATTGAAGAGCAAAGGCCAGCCAGTCACTTTAAATGTCTTTGATTAAAAGAGTTTGTTTTGTTTGTGACTCTCCTGTCTTGTTTTTAACCATTGCACAACAGTGTGGTCTCCTGCCTCTGTTCCTCAGGGCTCTGGCCCATGAAGCCAGACTGTTGGGGCGGAAGAGCTTTTTCAGAAGCACACACCAAAGGCAGCTGCCCCTGCCAAGACTTGTGCTACTCTGTGCTACTAATACTTGGGCTTTTCCGGATGATGCTCTGGTTTTCCAGATGAGGGCTGGTGCAGGGGAAAGGGGTTCCATACCTTTGAGCTAATACAGTCTAGGAAAAGTTTTGCTGGTGGATTCTACCCCACGTGTAAACTGGCCCTGAGCAATCCTTACTGCAAAGCTCCTTTCATGGTAGGTCAGTGCTGTTGCTGCCCTACGAGGGATGGCTGTGTGACTAAGGACTAAGGCTTAGCCCACCCGCTGACCTTGGCTCCTAGTTTGTGCCCTTGACTCCTATGCTGCCATCTGTGTCGCTTTTGAGTAAATCTTTCGTAAGGGGCGGGCTAGGTTTATGAGAACTCGTAATGCATTTCAGATTTTTGCTGCTTTGCCCTTTCTCTTGTAGAGATACCTGAAATAAATCACATGAGAGGTAGAAGCTTTCAAATTAAATGGGCAACTTGGATTAATCTTGGAAATTTATGGAAAGCCTTACTGTGCCATTTGAAGATAGTAAGAGTTAGCTGTACAGTGGTACCTCTGGTTACGTACTCAATTTGTTCCAGAGGTCCGTTCTTAACCTGAAACTGTTCTTAACCTGAAGCACCACTTTAGCTAATGGGGCCTTCTGCTGCTGCCGCGCTGCTGGAGCACGATTTCTGTTCTCATCCTGAAGCAAAGTTCTTAACCCAAGGTACTATTTCTGGGTTAGGGGAGTCTGTAACCTGAAGCGTATGTAACCTGAGGTACCACTGTATACCCCTGTGGGAGAGAAGCAGCATTCTGGAGCATCCCTGTGTTAAGCTATGTAGGTTCAAACAAAAGGTCAGCTATGTAGTTTTAACAGCTGGGTAGAAACACAAGCCTAGTCTTCTGCAGGTGCAACAAAAAAGGTTTTTATTCTGGTCCCCACTTTCAGCACAGCAGCAAAATTGACTCCCCTGGTGCTCAAAGCTATCACATTAAAAAATAAATATCCTGAAGTGCAGTGTAGGAACTGAAGCACCTTTCCACAAACAGGCTTTTAAAATAAATAAATCCAGTGGCCAGCACCAGCAGTCCACAGGGCACCAAGTGGAACGTCTCCTCAGGACGGAGCCTTCCAGAGGGCTTTGGGTGGCCTGAGCCATTGGTGGCAAGAAGGTGGCACAGTGCAGGCTTGTGGCAAAAGCCTTCCCCATCTTTGGTCCTCCTCACTCAGTCCCTAAACAACTCAGAGCAGCTCCTTCTGCTGCAGAGGCTGCACCTTGGCACCCGCCTGACTGTTGGTCCAGAAGGCGGCAGGAGACGATGCTGGAGCGGTTGTGGGGGTGGCTGAGGCTGCTTCTGAGGAAGGCCTTTGGGGTTTCTGCGTGGCAGCCACAGCTTCTGCAAGCTTCTCCACAGGTACCACATTCAAGACTTTCAAGACATAAAGGAGCTGGAATTTGGCTGTGCTGACGAAGGAATTCCCCAGGAAGGAAGGATGCCCATGCGATCTTTCTGGGTGTAAAGGGGCACTCAAACTATTCCCATCACCTGCAACAGCACGGGTAAATGCTCTGTGACCAGAAAATACCACCATGCTGCAGCCCACCATCACCCACAGTCAAAGGGCTCTTTTTCCTCTGCGCTAGGAAAACCTGTATGGGACTCGGGTGGCGCTGTGGGTTAAAACACAGAGCCTAGGACTTGCCGATCAGAAGGTCAGCGGTTCAAATCCCTGGGACGGGGTGAGCTCCTGTTGCTCGGTCCATGCTCCTGCCAACCTAGCAGTTCAAAAGCACATCAAAGTGCAAGTAGATAAATAGGTACCACTCCAGCGGGAAGGTAAACGGCGTTTCCATGCGCTGCTCTGGTTCGCCAGAAGCGGCTTAGTCATGCTGGCCACATGACCCAGAAGCTGTATGCCGGCTCCCTCAGCCAGTAAAGCAAGATGAGCGCTGCAACCCCAGAGTTGGTCACGACTGGACCTAATGGTCAGGGGTTCCTTTACCTTTACCTAGGAAAACCTGTACGTATATTGCACTGCAGTCTAGAGCCTCACTGCTCAGAAGATTAAGGAATGCCCTTTGCCCTGAGGTTAAGGCCACCAAATGAAAGCCCCCACCCAGGGGAAGCCCTATCAAGCTCTCCCACCCCATTAACCCTTTGTCCCCTCCAATATTCTTGGCCAGGAGTGGCCAGCAGCCCTCCTAAGCAGCCTTTCCACAGAACTTCCATCTGCCCTCTTTGCTGCTGTCGACCCCCGCAGCCCCACCTCCAGTCGATGGTCCCGCGAGTGCACGGCGCTGATTTCGACAGCATGCAGCTCCAGCAAGGTCAACTGCTTGGCATACAAGTGAGCCACCATTTGCTGGGGCCCTCGGTGGTGTGTGAAGCCAGGTGGCTTCCGTCAGACACACATCACCCAAGCCCAGCACCCGGTTCCCCAGCTGGCCACTGAACCACATCTGAATCTGCAACACAAGAGGAGGAAAAGAAAGAACGTGTTAATAGGGCATCCATTTTCTGCAGCGGCTCCCTTTTTTGTGGAAGGCTTTTCCCTTGGAGGCTTGCCTGGCCCCTTTGCTGCGTATCTTGGTAAGTGCCAGGCAAAAATGTTCCTCCTCACCCAGGCCTTCAGTTTCTAATCAATCCATGGCCTTTGGTTGGTTGGTTGGTTGGTTGGTTGTTTATTTACTTATTAGATTTATATACCAACCTTCCTCAAAAGAACTCGGAGCAGTTCACAAGGAAAAAAACAAAAGCACAAATAGATAAATCAAGAAACAACAAAACAAAAAATCCCCTTCCCACAGACACATTTACAAGGCTGTGTAGAATATTAATCATCCAATAAATGTAAAGGACTCCTGGACAGTTAAGTCCAGTCAAAGGTGACTGTGGGGTGTGGTGCTCATCTCGTTTTTCAGGCCAAGGGAGCTGGCATTTGTCCACAGACAGCTTTTCCAGGTCACATGGCTAGCATGATGAAACTGCTTCTGGTGCACAGAGGACCATGATGAGTGCCAGAGCGCACAGAAACACAAGCAGCCCAAGTCCTGGCTGAAGAGAAACGTGTTTGCCTGGCGCCTAAAAATAGGCAATGAAGGCGCCAGGTGAACCTCCCTGGGGAGAGTGTCCCACAATTGGGGAGCCACTGCAAAGAAGACGCGTTCTTGTGTTGCCATCCTCCAGACCTCACACAGGAACATGAAGAAGGGCCTCCGATGGAAATCACAGCATTGGTTTATATAGGGAGAGGCGGTTCTTTGGGTATTGTGGTCCTGAGCTGCTTAATAGGCTTTATAGCTCAAAAGCTGCACTTTGAATTGGGCTCCATGCAGATGGGCCAAGATTATGCTCAGACTGTCTCACCCCAGTTCTGCACACAGTGACGTGTGTCCCTGATTTGTCTTTCCGCCCTCCTTTTTGTTGTTAGTCGTTTAGTCGTGTCCGCCTCTTCGTGACCCCCTGGACCAGAGCACGCCAGGCACCTCTGTCCTCCACTGCCTCCCGCAGTTTGGTCAAACTCATGCTGGTAACCTCGAAGACACTAGAATCATAGAATCATAGAGTTGGAAGAGACCACAAGGGCCATCGAGTCCAACCCCCTGCCAAGCAGGAAACACCATCAGAGCACTCCTGACATATGGTTGTCAAGCCTCTGCTTAAAGACCTCCAAAGAAGGAGACTCCACCACACTCCTTGGCAGCAAATTCCACTGTCGAACAGCTCTTACTGTCAGGAAGTTCTTCCTAATGTTTAGGTGGAATCTTCTTTCTTGTAGTTTGGATCCATTGCTCCGTGTCCGCTTCTCTGGAGCAGCAGAAAACAACCTTTCTCCTTCCTCTATATGACATCCTTTTATATATTTGAACATGGCTATCATATCACCCCTTAACCTCCTCTTCTCCAGGCTAAACATGCCCAGCTCCCTTAGCCGTTCCTCATAAGGCATCATTTCCAGGCCTTTGACCATTTTGGTTGCCCTCCTCTGGACACGTTCCAGTTTGTCAGTGTCCTTCTTGAACTGTGGTGCCCAGAACTGGACACAGTACTCCAGGTGAGGTCTGACCAGAGCAGAATACAGTGGCACTATTACTTCCCTTGATCTAGATGCTATACTCCTATTGATGAGGCCCAGAATTGCATTGGCTTTTTTAGCTGCCGCGTCACACTGTTGGCTCATGTCAAGTTTGTGGTCAACCAAGACTCCTAGATCCTTTTCACATGTACTGCTCTCAAGCCAGGTGGAGCCAACCATCAAGCCAACCATCTCGTCCTCTGTCGCCCCCTTCTCCTTGTGCCCTCCATCTTTCCCAGCATCAGTGTCTTTTCCAGGGAGTCTTCTCTTCCCATGAGGTGGCCAAAGTACTGGAGCCTCAGCTTCACGATCTGTCCTTCCAGTGAGCACTCAGGGCTGATTTCCTTAAGAATGGATGCGTTTGATCTTCTTGCAGTCCATGGGTCTCTCAAGAGTCTCCTCCAGCACCATAATTCAAAAGCATCAATTCTTCGGCGATCAGCCTTCTTTATGGTCCAGCTCTCACTTCCATACATCACTACTGGGAAAACCATGGCTTTAACTATACGGACCTTTGTTGGCAAGGTGACGTCTCTACTTCTCAAGATGCTGTCTAGGCCTGTCATTCCTTCTCCCAAGAAGCAGGCGTCTTTTAATTTCGTGGCTGCTGTCACCATCGAAATTAAAAGACACCTGCTTCTTGGGAGAAGGGCAATGACAGGCCTAGACAGCATCTTGAGAAGTAGAGTGTTCTATGTTTTTAGCTGTGGGCTGCCTTGAGTTCCTGTTGGCAGAGGGTACATATAAAGGTAAAGGTACCCCTGCCCGTATGGGCCAGTCTTGCCAGACTCTAGGGTTGTGCGCCCATCTCACTCAAGAGGCCGGGGGCCAGCGCTGTCCGGAGACACTTCCGGGTCACGTGGCCAGCGTGACATCGCTGCTCTGGCGAGCCAGTGCAGCACACGGAAACGCCGTTTACCTTCCCGCTAGTAAGCGGTCCCTATTTATCTACTTGCACCCGAGGGTGCTTTCGAACTGCTAGGTGGGCAGGCGCTCGGACCGAGCAACGGGAGCGCACCCCGCCGCGGGGATTCGAACCGCCAACCTGACGATTGGCAAGCCCTAGGCGCTGAGGCTTTTACCCACAGCGCCACCCGCGTCCCTAATAAAAATAATCCGCCCTGTGGTCTCTTGATGAAGGGAATGACCAGTGCTTATTTTTTTCTTTCTAAAAAAATGTTTAGGGCAGTGTTTCCCAACCTTTTTTGGGCAAAGGCACACTTGTTTCATGAAAAAAATCTTGAGGCACACCACCATTACAGCCCCGTGACGTCAGCGCGCAGCGTCACGCCGGGAGGGACGCACGAAAGTGTAAGATTCAATTTTTTCCCCTCCCCCTTGCCTTCCTTCTGTGCCAACCGCCAAAAAGCCAAGAATCGCGGGACCGCCGGCGGAGGGGGGGGAGGGCGAGCGGAGGCAGCGGCGAGCCCCGTTCCTCCCCATCCGCCCCATTCCGTGCAAGGAGCGCGAACAGGTGTGAGAAGGGGGTCAAACCTGCGGGTCGGCGCCGGGGAACCTCCAAGCTTTGGGGGTGGGGGGGAGGAGGCAGCAAAACTGGGAGCCGCAAAACAAGCCAAATGTAAATAACCACACATTCTTCCCCTTCCCCCACTCTCTCTCTTTTCCCTGAGTCTATTTCAGATAGCAAAGAGGGGTATGGTACCTCTCATATCCATTTTTTGCAAAGCACCATGTGCATAGAGGGCATTATACAAATTAATACATAGAAAAGTGTCTGTCCCTCCCTGCAGTTCAACTCCCTCTCTTTTTACTAACAGCACATATCCATTCCTTCTGCTGGTGCAACTTTCTCACCATTTCTACATAGCAGCATTTATAAACCAGTGCCAGAGAAACTGGGTGAAAGGAAGGTGAGAGGGAAGAGATATGAATATTTATGTGTGTACGTATATGTATACATACATACACCTACACAATTACAGGTTTGAAGCCAACTTAAAATAAAAAGAGCTGGTAAGCAAAGGAATCTGTGGCGCTTTCCATGGGATCCGGGGACATGTCAGCTAATACTCTTCCCTTTCTTCTTCATTTGCTTGTCTCTGCAGCAAATCTCGAGGGGAAGGGAGAAGGGCAGGAATTGCATAGGCACGAGAGAACGGGGGAAATCCCGCATGCAGGATTTTGGTGCCTAACAGCCCCCCTCCCTCTGCAATTGCTCTCGTGCTCCCCCGCCTCTCCTGCTGGCTACCTCTGGACCCCCTCCTCGTCCCTAACGTAATTCACCCCTTCCTCCCTGACAGGGAGGGTGGGCCCATTTTGTGGTTCTCCTCAGGTGCTCTCCCCTCAACTGGGCGGCCACTCAGAAGCAAGGCACGGAAAAGGATCCCGAAGCACCACCGCCACCCCCCCCCCCACAAACACACACAAAAACCCCGCCCTGCCATTCCCCTCGAGCTCGCGCGCTCTCTCTCCCTCGCCTCAGGTGCCTCGCACGTGGAGCTGAGGAGAGCGTGGCCTGGGTGGGCGGCTCTCGAAGTCGCGTGGCGCGCGGGGCCTGAGGGCGGGCGGGCTGCCGCGACGACGAGAGGGAGCGCGCCTGCGTGTGGACGCGCCTATGTGTGGCAGCCGCCAGCGGTGGGAGTGGCAGCCGCGTCCACCTGGGGGGAGAACCGTCGCTGCGCCCTAGCGCACCTTCCTGCCACCGCCCTCCTCCTCTTCCTCCTCGCTCCCTGCACCATGAGGGAAGAGGCGCCGCCGTGAGCTGCTCGGCCGCTTCCTCACTGTCCTCCAGACGAGGCATCCCCCTCGTCGCCGCCGCCGCCCATCCCACCCTGGGATGAGCCATGAAGCCGCCTGGCAGAACTTCCCTCCGGCGGCAGAAGCAGCAGCAGCAGCCCTTCTCCGGCCGCCGCTGCCTCCTCCTCCATCCCAGCAGCCGCCGCCTCTCGAGTTCCGCTGCCGCCGCCGCCTTGCTTTGTCCAGCTCGGCTGCCCAGCTCCATCCCCCTCCTCTTTCTGGCGCTTCTGCTTTTCTGCTCAGGGTCCCCGAGGATCTCCGGAGCCGCGGCAAAGGTGTAAAAGAGCCGCATGCGGCTCCGGAGCCGCGGGTTGCCGACCCCTGGATTAGGACCTAATTTGACTTTTACAAAAAAATAATAATCTTTTGAATCTTCCCCGCGGCACACCAGGCAACGTATGGCGGCACACTAGTGTGCCGCGGAACACCGGTTGGGAAACACTGGTTTAGGGGTACTGTTATTTTCCTACTCATATTGAAATGCTGCCCCTCAATGAGGCCAAATTTAGATTCACAAAATGTTGTGCGTCCCCACAGGAAAAAAAGCCCTGGGAATAATAATAATAATAATAATAATAATAATAATAATACCGCTGGGCTGACCTCTCACGTGGGCTACTGAGCACGTGGCGTCCCTGCGTGGGCGGAGCCATTGCTCCCACATGCCACGCCCCGTCCCCTTAAGCCACGCCCCTCACCAGGACGGCGTAGCGCAGCGAGATGCGGGCGAAGAGCATGCCGGGATGCGGGGCGTGGAGCAGGGCGTGGCTCCATCCGGGGCCCAGGCGGAGCCCCTCGGCGCGCCTCAGGGGCCTCAGCTCGGCCACGCCCAGCGGCTCCAGGGCCGAGGCGGAGGCGGCGAGACGCGGCTGCCAGACGACGGGAGGAGCCGTTGGTCCCCTCAGCTCCGGCGCCGCCATCGCCGCAGACACGACGACTGCCGGAGCGCGCGGGGAGAGGTCGCGGCGTCCAATGGGGGCGCCGCGTGGCGGACTGGCAGCCGCTGGGCCCAATGGAAAGGCTGCTCGCCTCACAGGGGCTCCGCCTCTAGACTCGATGGGGCGGGGCTAGACGGGGATCCGCCCTGCCGCTGCGCGTCTGGCGAAATGTGGGAGCGGGCGAGGATGCCGTGGGCATGTGCAGAGTGCTGCCTTCCCCTCCCGGGCCGGATGGAGACGCGACTGAGCGGAGGGAACAGCTTCGCTCCGGACCAGTTTGTTTTTGTTGTTTTTAATAAAATAAATATTTTTAAGGGACATAAGATGGTGAATAAAGAGCGTGCTTCTGCTGCTGAGGGACCCTTTGGGGGACAAGTTTTTCCTTTTTTAATTTATTTCTTCATTTTACAATATTAGACAATAAATATAAATCACACACAAACCCAGTGATCTTTTCTGCTACTTCCCTCCCTCCTGCGGTTTCTGATTTTTCTATCAAATTCTTACTGCATATCTTAATTTAACCTTTTTACCCATTTATCCCTTTTAATTCCCTTATCATCCTTATGGCTCCTGTTTATATCAATCCTGCTAATGTTTTTAGTTGTTTACAGTTTGTTTTCATATGTCCAATACATTTCCCCCATTCTGCTACAAAGAGTTTATCATCCTGATATCTTAGTCTTCCAGTAAGTTTCTCCATCTCTGCGTATTTCATCAGTTTTAGTTGCCAATCGTCTCTTTTGGGGATCAGCTCCTCTTTCCAGTTTTGTGCGTATATCATTCGGGCAGCCCTGATAGCATACATAGTTTTTTCCTGATACTTGGCACCCCTTCTCCAAGTATACCTAAAAGGAAAGCTTCTGGTTTTTTAACAAAAGTTATTTTAAACATGTTTTCAATTCATTACAGTATAAACAAAATTCCAGAAGGCCTTTGCAACCTTTCAGAATCACCACATGTGAAAAAAGTACCCTCTTTCTCTTTACACTTCCAGCATAGCCTGGAGAAGAGGACGTTAAGGGGTGATATGATAGCCATGTTCAAATATATAAAAGGATGTCACGTAGAGGAGGGAGAAAGGTTGTTTTCTGCTGCTCCAGAGAAGCGGACACGGAGCAATGGATCCAAACTACAAGAAAGAAGATTCCACCTAAACATTAGGAAGAACTTCCTGACAGTAAGAGCTGTTCGACAGTGGAATTTGCTGCCAAGGAGTGTGGTGGAGTCTCCTTCTTTGGAGGTCTTTAAGCAGAGGCTTGACAACCATATGTCAGGAGTGCTCTGATGGTGTTTCCTGCTTGGCAGGGGGTTGGACTCGATGGCCCTTGTGGTCTCTTCCAACTCTATGATTCTATGATTCGATGATTCTATATATTGGATTTAAATTTGTCAGCTTGCTAGGCGTCAAATAGCATCTATACAACATCTTCATGTAGTTTTAATGCGCAGCATGCTGTAAATTTTAAATCTCCTTTCCAAAGTCTTCCCCACGTTGCCATATCAATATTATAATTGGGTGACAAGTTGAATTAATTAACGGAATGAACTCGCAGAGAGGAAAGAGGAATGAGTTGACTGTGCGCAGGAGCCCTGGTTTAAGGTCCACCGGGGTCCCGGCTGGAAAATGAACCTTTAAGAACATCAGAAAAGTCCTGGATCAGGCCAGTGGTCCTTCCGGCGCAGTGGCGTCTGCTCTCACAATGGCCAGGGAGATGCCATGGTGTACAATGGGAAACCTGCAGGCAGGATTGAGCCCTCTTCCCTCCTGTAGTTTCCAGCAACTGGGATTCAGGAGCCACCAACAGCCTTATCCTCCGCGAGTTTGCCCCATCTTTTAAAGCCATCCAAGTTGCCCTCCTGTGGCAGTGAGTTCCATAGTTGAACCGTGTGGTGTGGTTTATATGTGCAATCTGCTTTTAGGTACCCAGGACAGATGCCACGGAGGCCCCGCCGGGGAGACCCGTGAAGGCAAAAAGGCTGCCTCTGCTGTGTGCGCGCCATGTCCCATGGGCACCTCTGTGTCCCACCCCGGAGCTGCTGCCCTCCCGATGTTCCGACCTCCCCTTGGCCCCGGAGGTGCTACGAAGGGCCCTCTGGGGCAGGACTCGGGCCAGGCAGCCAAGAGGCGGCGTGACAAGGCAGACAGGCTGCCAGCAGCTGCTTCTTCAGGCTCCTGGGAGCCACTTTTGGGACCCCAAAAACTTCCCAGCACCTGGTGATATTGCGCGTAACTGCCTCCTTTTCTTCCCGCAGCGCAGCAGCTTTCACAAGGTGGCGGCGTGTGGAGGCGGCTGAGACAAAAGGTCGCCTCGACAGCCAATGAAATGTGGGGCTGGCGGGGGGGGGGGGCGGGTGGCAGCCTGAACAGGTTGCTTCTCTCCATCGCCTGCAAAGAGCCAGCCGGACGCGCCACTCTCCCCTGGCACTCGCAGAAGGCGGCCCGCACCTCGCCTGTTGCTGCGGGGCAGCAGGTAGGCGCTTGCAGGGGAGGGGGGCACCTGGAACTGGAGGGGGGGCTTTGTTTCTTTTCAGAGTTTTGCACGAGGCCCTTGCACAGGGGATGCACCCCAAAACTGGGGGTGGGTGGGCTGATAACGATGCCCCCCTCCATCCCCTGCCCCCCTCCACCTCTCTTCTAATTTTCCGGCCAGCTCGATGCTCCTTCCATTCATCCCGGGACACCTCCTTGGCAAGAGTCCCCCTTCCTGACCTTGCTCCCCGCGCCCCAACTTCTGGCTGCTCCCTGGTTCTGAGGGCGTTTCTTGCGCGTGGGTGGCAGCTGCCTGGGTGCTCCCGCGCAAGGGTGCTCGCTCCTCAGAAGCAGAGAGACTGGTGGAGGAAGGAGCAAGGGGGGCACTGCCCCACGCAGGTGGCACCAGAGGACGCGGCGGATTTAAAACCCCGGCTTCCTGCCAGCCGCCGCGCTCGAGTTTGTGTCCCGCAGGTGGGCGCAAGGAGGGCAGAGGCGGCAGCCTTGGCGGGCCGGGCTGGCCAGCCGCCTGGGGTCTCCTAGCGCAGGGTGGCGGAGGAGGAGAGGCCGTGTCGGGTTACAGCCGAGCTGTGCACTCCCCTAATGAGTGTAAAGACGAAGCCTCGGCGGCTGCCACCTGCGCACCCTCCGAAACCGGATCGCTGGTCCCCAGGGAGCCGCTTCCCCAAGCCACAGGCGGGCTGGCGAGGCCCCGGCGAATGGAGCCCGTGTAACCAAATGCGCCTGCGGGGGACCTGGCGGAACAACAGCTTGTCCTTTGTCTCTGGCCCTGCAGGAGAATTTCCCGTCCGACGCCCCCGACGCCTCGCCTATCCCTGGCCCTGCAGAAGAAAAGGACGGCATCTGACTCCGGCCGGGGAGAATGTCGCTCGTAAGGCCGAAGACGGGGCGGCAGCAGCAGCAGCAGCTGGGCGCAGAGCCCTGGGGCGCTTCCTGCGGGGCTGGCGCCGTGGACGACAGCCTCACTAACCTGCAGTGGCTGCAGGGCTTCTCCTTCCTCCCCGCCAGCCCGGAGAAGCCTTCCTCGGCCAGGCTCCTGGGCCCCCCGCGCCTCCTGCAGCAGGGCTCCTATGCGCCAGCCAGCCCGCCCGCGGGCGACACAGCGGCCATGGGGGCGCCCACGGGGATGGGCAAACCCGCCAGCTCCAGCTCCTCCCTGCAGCCCCTCGCCCCCGACCCAGAGGCGGTCGACTACCGGACCAACGGGCAGGTGAAGCCGCCCTACTCCTACGCCACCCTCATAAGCATGGCCATGCGGGCCAGCCCAGAAGCCAAGCTCACGCTCTCGGCCATCTACGCCTGGATCACCGAGAACTTCTGCTACTACCGCCACGCAGAGCCCAGCTGGCAGGTGAGGCGGGGCCTGAGCAGCAGGTGGTCTTGCAAGCAGGTGCCTTGCGAGCAGGTTCAATCCCCAGGGGCAGAGCAGGGGAGAGACTCTGGCCTGAAATCCTGGAGAGCCATTGCTGATGGTAGACAATACTGAGCTAAATGGACCAAGGACACACACAAGGCAGAATGTTGTGTTCCAATGACATAAGGCAGGAAGGGCCAGTGGGAAGGGGGAGACTGAGCTGGCCTCCCATCAATATTGTGGACTTGAAAAAATGGGAAGTGAGTTTTCCCCCCTGCCCCAGAGGTGCCCTTCCCCATTCTGCTGGGCAGGAGGGGCTGCTGCAACCAGGGGCAGGTGGGAGCGGAACATTCCTCGGATGGGCGCTAATAACTTCTGCCAGGGAGCTCTCTTGCAGGGCAAGAGACACAAGGGCACCTCAAAGGATCCAGGGGGCTCCCTCGGGAAGAAAGGGTGCAGCGTTTGGGACTTTCTAATTTGGGGGAAATGCAAGGAAGAGGCAGCTGTTGAGAACATTAGGCGTGGCTTGGAGAAAGTGGATGTATCGAGAAAGGTTTTCCTCCCTCTCCTGCAAACGCTAGAACTTGTGGACATGCAACAAAAGTGAAGACAGGGAGGTTCAGGACAAAGAGAAGAGAAAGCAATTCTCCATGGGGTACAAAGTTCCTATGGAACTCCCTGCCACAAGAGGCAGTGACGGCCACCAACTTGGATGGCTTTAAAAGAGGTTGGGCAAATCCATGGAGGTCAATTGGTGGCTACAAGGCACAAGGCCAGTCACTGGCTCTGGTTTGCAGCAGGTCCTGCTTGCAAGTTTCTCACAATAGGAATCTGGCTTGCTCCTGTGAGAGCAGGATGAGGGGCCAGTGGAATCCCCCTGGCCTGATCCCGTGCACAGGAATGTGCCCTTCTGCTCACCCCTCCCTCTCTCCCCCCTTCTTCCCCTCCTCCCCATGGGCCTTTTGTCTCCTCCGCAGAACTCCATCCGCCACAACCTGTCCTTGAACAAGTGCTTTCAGAAGGTGGCGCGGCAGAAAGACGAGCCTGGCAAGGGGGGCTTCTGGCGGATCAACCCCCAGCATGCAGACAGGTTCGTCGATGGGATATTCCGGCGGAGGCGGGTGCCAACCTTTCCCTGTATTTCGGCCACTCAGGCAACACCCCCCTTGCCTGCCTCCGGTGCAGAGCTGGGCTGCTTCCGAGGGAGGGGACGAGGCCCCCTGAAAGAGGACCAGACGCCCCGGCTGCCCGGGGGGCAGCGCCACCCTGGTAAGTGCAAGCAGCAGCCAGGCCAGGGCACCAGCAAGGCTGTTTGGACCGGGGCCCGCTCGCCTCTGGCCTCTGTGGGCAGAGAGGGGGTGGCTCTGCCGGGGGACCTCAGCTGGGCGTCTGTGTTGGAGGACACCTTCGTTGGCAGTGGGAGCAGCATTGAGGACCTGGAGCTGACGGCAGCCCTTGGCTCCCTGGCCGCCGAGGAGGTGGTCCTGGCCTCCTCTGACCAGCCCGTCAGTCCTCTGAGCCAAGAGGGTCCCCCTCACCCTGTCCCAGCCCTGGTGGAAGACTTGACGCTGTATGCCGAGCCCCTGGGCCAACCGTGGGGGGAGGAGGAAGCAGCCACGGAGCCGCCGCTGGGACCCCCCTGGGCCTTCGAGGAGGAGGGCGGCACCTGCTTTGTCGAGGGCTTCCTAGCCGAGATGCAGCCATGGGAAGCATGAGTTCTGCAGGCCCCCAAGAGGCAATGAGAAGATGCAGCAGAAGCCAAAGTGGCCTTGGTTTGCAGCTGACGTCTGCCAGGGGTGGGCAGCCCTGCCCAGAGCAGAGAGGCTGGGGGTGTCCACCATAGTCGTAGCCTTGCTTGATGCAAGTCATGCTGTGGTGTGTATGGCAGCATGTCGCAGAGCGCCTGTATTCCCAAATGTCAAAAGGCACAACAGAGCTCTGTTAGCTCGGGATGTACAGCTTTTTCTGAAACCGGTGAGCACACTCTCAGAGGTGCAAGGATGGGCAAAGCGGGTCTGCCAAAGGGCTGGGGGCCAAGAAACCAGGGGAAAGGGGCACTTCTCGTCCTCTCCCTATTCAGAAGACTTCAAGGCCTCCCCCTCCTTCCCTTCCTCTGCATGCAAAACCAATATCCGTTTTCCAAATCAACTTTGGCAGCACAATGTTTGTAAGTAAATATATGCAAATAATTTTGTCTGAGAGCAGAGTCTGGCTTCTGCTTCCTTGAGCAGCCTCGGCAGCCATGGCAGGAAGGGCATCCTGGCTAGCAGCTGAAAGGCAGGCTAGGAAGAAAGAGCATCGGAGCTCCCTTGGCAAACTCCCTGAAGGTGCCGGTGGGAGGGAGGTGGGCATTCCCATGCCATGCATGTGCTAAGGCATGTGCCAGCTGCTCCTCTGTGCCTGGGCAGGGAGGAAGGCAAACCGACTCTCCTTCCTGTCCTTTGGTGAGGAGATGGACACCAGGCAGCAGACAGGCCTGGACCTGCCTCGGGCAGTTGGAGACAAAGAGTGGCAGCCTGAGCCAAGACGGACGGGCGCATTGACTGGCTCATTGTTCCTCCAAACGGCCAGCCTCCTCAGAGGAACAAACTGTCCTGCTCACCTGCCAGGGTGGGAGAGAGATCTGCGAGGGCAGGGGCCAGCGAGGCCTGGCTGAGAGCGCAGCACCATCCCTTCCCCTCCCTGGGGCACCCCACCCAAGGCAGCTGCCGCCCCTGAAGGGTGAAAGGCGGATCTCTCCTCCACCAGCTCTACTGAATGGACCACTGGCCTGGCTTGAGAGGGCACTGGCGTCTGGGTCAAAAGCGTTTTGCCAGTGGATTTGGCTGCAGTGCCAAGGGGTGAGTGGCAGACGTGGGTCACGTGCCAAGGCTGCTGCAGACCCACTCCTGACTGGCAGGAAAGAAGGGCCGGGGGGGGGTGGCTTGTTGGGCAGGCAAGGAAGGGGCAGAAGGCAAACCCAGAGCACTGCCACTCCCAACATTTATGTCACTCCTCTCAAGGTACCAGCAGCCTGAATTGGCATAAGGTCCATAAAGGTGGGGGGCTTCCTCAGGTCAGTGAAGAGACTGGAACTGCGTGTGCCCCGTGCACATGGTCAATGTGCCCCACCGGACACCGGGAAGGAAGAAACCAGCAAGAAAAAGCCAGTCACCAGCTTCAACCAGACTGACACAGGAGGGGTTTATTACTATAAATATAGAAACACATTGGCCCAGCTCTGCCCTCTGGGCCTGGAAAGAGAGTGGCCCCCTCAAAGGTGGAAGTTGGGGGGGGCAAGGAAGCAGCTGGCAGCCCCTCAGGCAGCTAGTCCACAAGGACACCCCTCACCCCACCGCCTTCTGGGTGAAGCAGTTGGGAGGGAGGAGGAGGAGGAGGAGAAGGCACACCTGGGCACAGCCCCAAACCGTGGAGCTCAAGGTGGGGGGTGAACAGGCTCCTGCTTGGTGGCACAGGCAGCACAAGGGGGCGCCCACCAGATGCCCCGGCCTCAGGGCAAGAGAGGAAGCAGCAGGTTCTGCGTCACCCTCCAGCAAAAGTGCCCCCCCCAGGTTGGCTCTGCCTCCAAATCCTGCAGCAAAGCAGCAGGTCGTGGTGGTGCAGGAGGGGTAGCTGTGGGGCAGAAGACGCAGGTCCCAGTGGGGAGCCTCAGGCCACTTCCAGCTGAGTCCCCCCCGCCCCTCGCTGGCTTCCTCTCTGGAGTCCAGCCACCCCCCTGGCAGGAAGTCCATGGAGGAGGAGGAGGAGGAGGGCAGAAAGGGCCTTGTGCCTGACCCACTTCCCCTTTCTGCAGGAGCAGGAAGAAGCCCCCCCCCCGCCCCATGTGCCTAGATGGGGGTTTCTGCCAGGAGCCCCGAGTGCTGGCCGGGAGCAGAGCAGGCAGGCTGGGAAGCAGGAGGGGGGAAATCAGAGGCAGGGGGTTAAAAAGGCCAAGGCGCCAACAGATATGTCCAAAGAGGGGAGGAAGAGAGCACAGCAAGGCAGGAGGAAATCTTTTCCATCACACCAGCCTCACAGCCAATGCGGGGGGGGGGGGGCGCACTGAATATCATGCATTTCTGTACAAAGACACAGAAGAGTCCCTTGGAGGGAGGGGGGAGAGAGTCCTGGTCCGAGGCTGAGCCCCGCAGAGGGGAAATGTCTGTCTCGTGCCGCAACATCGGAACCCGTGTCCCGTAAAGGATCCTTCGCTGGTGGAAGAGGAAGGGAGGCAGAGGGGGCTGCTTCCCCACAGGCAGGCAGGAAGAGGAGCCGCCCCAGAAGATGCGCCCGGGCATTTGGCATTGTGAGCACCTCGGCGGCGGCGGCTTTCGAACCCCGAGCCAGGCGCTCAGGACGGGCTCTGCCCGCTTTCCACGCAGAGGCGGGGATTGTTGAACAGGAAGGGCTGCCCGGATTGGCTGGTCCCACGGCCAGGGAGGGTGCCAGCGAAGTCAGAGGATCCTGCGGTTTGGGGGGGGGGGAGAGAAAGAGGCTGGCTCAGGAGCCCTGGTGCTGCTGACCCTCTCAGCCCTCCTGCCCCCCAGGCATAGGGTGGGAGCAAGAAGCAAGGCAGGGCGCCCGACTCCGGCACCCCGAGGTGGGTGCCTGGCCGCTGAAAGAGACCGCCAACAGCAGGGCGGAAGCTGCCCTGCGCATCTCAGCCCCCTCCCCACTGCAGCCCCCCTCTCTCCTCTGCCCCCTTGCCCCACTTCTGGCTGCCCTTCCCCACCCGCCCTCCCAAGAGGCCCCCGCCAGCGTATAGGGAGGAAAGACGAGACGTACCAGCTTACTCCTCTATCCCAACAGAGCAGGAGTCCAGGCCGAGGGCTGCCCAGGCGGGGCAGACAGAAAGGGGGGAGACGTTAGAAAAAGCGGTCAGAAAAGACGGACGGACAGACGCCCCCCTTGCTGTGGGCATCGGGTGGTGCCCAAGAGCGGGGCGGAGGCCTCTTCTGCAATCCACCACGAGCCTCACCCTCTGCCTCTGAGCCTCTTCTGGCCCCCTCTGCATGTGCTTCCCACCCCCCTGTTCCCAATTGCCCCCCTCCTTGTGCCACACGGACGGGGCCTGCGTGGCATGGACGTACAGAACAGGGCCATGGCTGCCACACAGAGAGCAGCAGCGATGCAAAGGCAGCCGGGCCATGGGTGCAGTAGCAGGAAAAGCCAGGACGGCGCATGAAGCTGGGGGGACGGGGGACAGGTGGGTCAGGGCCCTTCCTTCTTGGCCGAGCGAGGGCATCATCCCCCTCTCAGCGGAGGGAAAGGAAGCGCCAGTCACCACCGAGGGCTCCTTTCGATGTTACCTGGCAGGTAGACGTCCGCTGGCAGGTCGCTCTCCAGGATGGGGAGGCTGCTGGGGTCACAGGTGCTGCTGCTGCTGCTCTCCTGGACAAGGGCCTCCACAGAGGGAGGCTGGGCACCTGCGAGAGGGAGAAAGAAGGGGAAGCCTCAGCGCCTTGGCATGTTGCCACTCCCTTCACATGAGGCCTTCACATTTCTGCATTTCTTTGGTGAATGGTCTCTTTAAATTTGAAGGTTCATTATTGTTCCACAAGATGTGTATTTCTTTAAAGGCCAGAGCAAATAACATGACCTGGTTTTACAGCTGTGAAGAAGTATAGCAGGTGCTGTTAAGTTGTGGTAATAAGGCTGTTGGGTATGGTATATAAAGAGCAGTATGTAGCTCTCTCAGTACCCTGGTAGATGGGTCATGCTTATGGATATATTGTAATTTAGTGTAAAAGGAGTTTTTGTTTTTGTTATTAAAACCTAGCAAAAGTTACTTTTGCGTTTCTTGAATGTGTGGTCTCCCCAGCACGCTTTCTGCAGCCCCACTAATCTACGAAATAGCCAACATTCTTATCTATTGGTTCTCCTGCCCTTCTCGTTTAATCCCCACAACCCTGAAAAGTAGGTAAAGCCGAAAGAGACGGCGACCGTCCCAAGGTCTCAGCCAGTGAGCTTCGTGGAGCCTGGTCTCTCCCAGGTCCTAGTACAGCACTCTAAACACTACACGTTGCTCTCGTGGCTGCTCCACTTTGGCCAAGCTGCCCCTCCAGGGGACCAGTCCTAGCAGTGGGGTTCTTTCCAGGCCCATGTTCAATAGCACAGACACGACATATACCCAGAAGGGGATCAGGCCAGAGGGTAAGGATACTCCCCCCCCCCGCCAGTTCTCACCCACCACAGGCCCAGCCAGAGCTCACCTTGCTGCAAGGGGCTGGCTGCCTCTGCTTCTTCCGCTGTCAGGCTCTTGAAAGATGGGAGGAGGAGGAGAAAAAGAAAAGGGTCTCATTTCCGCAAAGGAGGAGGGTCGCTATACAGCCCCATGCTTTGCTTTCCAAATGGGCAGAAACCAACACCATTCCAGAGCGGGGAGTTTTGTTTTCATGCAGGAAAATGGTTTGCCCATTGAAAGGGACACTTGGGGCTCTCAAGGGGGAAAAGAGCAATTTTTTGGTTTAGTAAAATGTATGCCCAGTTTTCCTATAAAAAAGTATATTCAAAGCAGGTGACCACAAAGACAAAAAAGGCTTAGCATATAGAAATACAATAAAAATATGACACAAAACCCAGCAAGATAACATGTAAGCAGGAATAAAAATTGTGAATAAAAATTGAGAATAAAAATCACATGGGTTCAAGCACCGGCCTAAATATGGGAAGATTGCTGCCAATGCCTCTCTGGGTGATTGTTGCCCCACCCCCACCCCCAAATCTGGAAAGTCAAGAGAAAACATTCTAAGCCCGACAGTTTCCAGCTAGGTCCAAGCGGCAGCTGCGTGGAAGTGGGATCCCGGGTACCAAAGGCCAGCGGGGAGATAGAGAGGCAATACTGCCCCTCCACACTTGGTGGAAAATCCCCTGATCTGGTAGCCAGGCGCCGCTCAGCTTCCTAGGCTGACAAGTCAATGGAGAAGAAAAAAGAGCTACCGTTTCTCTCAGTCTGGGAAGAGGCTGTGGAAGCCCGTGGGAAGGGACTGGTGTGTTAAGCAAGGCTGTTATGGGGAGGAAAAGAGCAGAAGCCAGCAACGGAGGGGATGCTTCTTCCCAGCGTGACGGTGAGGAAGTCCGAAGGGGGTCCTTCCTCCTCAATCATCACATTTGGTGGGGAGGGAGACCCCTGCCAGAGCCCTTGGGGAGAGTGGTCAGCTGCCCAACATCAAGAGGGCTTGCCCCCTTCCCTAGCCATCAGCACTGCTGCAAGCAGAGGGCAAGAGCAGCTCATCTCTCCCCTGGAGTGCAGATGGGACCACAGGAGCCAATGAGGGTGGGGTGCCCTTGGGGAGAGTGGTTAGCTGCCCAACATCAAGAGGGCTTGCCCCCTTCCCTAGCCATCAGCACTGCTGCAAGCAGAGGGCAAGAGCAGCTCATCTCTCCCCTGGAGTGCAGATGGGACCACAGGAGCCAATGAGGGTGGGGTGCCCTTGGGGAGAGTGGTTAGCTGCCCAACATCAAGAGGGCTTGCCCCCTTCCCTAGCCATCAGCACTGCTGCAAGCAGAGGGCAAGAGCAGCTCATCTCTCCCCTGGAGTGCAGATGGGACCACAGGAGCCAATGAGGGTGGGGTGCCCTTGGGGAGAGTGGTTAGCTGCCCAACATCAAGAGGGCTTGCCCCTTCCCTAGCCATCAGCACTGCTGCAAGCAGAGGGCAAGAGCAGCTCATCTCTCCCCTGGAGTGCAGATGGGACCACAGGAGCCAATGAGGGTGGGGTGCCCTTGGGGAGAGTGGTCAGCTGCCCAACATCAAGAGGGCTTGCCCCTTCCCTAGCCATCAGCACTGCTGCAAGCAGAGGGCAAGAGCAGCTCATCTCTCCCCTGGAGTGCAGATGGGACCACAGGAGCCAATGAGGGTGGGGTGTGGGAGGGGAAGGAGACGGGTGATCAGGACCACCCATGGGAGCATCCAGCTGTACCTGCTCATGGTGGGCGGCCAAAACAGCCCACCTGCTGTATACTGGCCACCTTCCGATGCCAGTAAAAACTACAACTTTCTGCAAGACGACACAGAACCAGACACCTCCACTTGTCAGTTTGCACACACACATGCACACACAGTCCAACTTGCCCAAGGAGCTCTTGCGGTTGCTCAGCTGTCAGCAGGAACAGGCAGCAGGCAGGCAGGCACCTTTCTGAGGCTGCCAACTCAGCAAGGCTCACAGCAGCCCCAAGCCCAACCCCATCAGCAGGCCACTCCAGGCTTAGCAAAGAGGCAGGAGACAGACAGAGAGAGAGAGAGAGAGAGAGAAATTCACCTCTGGGGAGCTGCCCTCCTGCAGCACGAGCTCTGTCCCGCTGAGCGGCAAGTCTGAGTCCTCCGAAAGCTTCTCCTCATCCTCTTCGTGGATGGGTGACGAGGGAGACCGGAGGGTGCTGCAGAGAACAAGAGACACAGCTGCGACCCAGAGGATTGGCAGCGGCTTGCATGGCAGAGGGACTGACTCTGAGGCAAGAGGCAAAGGCACTAGGATCCCTGAGCTTCAGGCATTGGGCAGAGGAGAAGCAGAGGAAGGTTTGGACTGGGAAATGGAGCGAGGATGGACTTGGCGTAGGGGAGGGCGAGAGGGAGCGATCCAAAGAGGCTTCTCCACAAGATTTCACCTGTCTGGAGACTTGCTGCGCTTGCTCTTCTGGTGGCTGCTCTCCACAGCTCGGTCCAGCCCCACCAGGGGTCTTCCAGAGAGGGGAAGCCCGTCCAGGACCCCCGTGTAGGTGATCTCATCGTAGAGGGGAGCTGAGGGGATGGAGGGGGAGATGGAGCGCAGGCCGTTCAGTGCTTCCAGCAAAGAAATGGGCTCATAGCCCGGAGGGATGTTGTCCGAACACTGCGGAGGGAGGAGCAGAGGAAGACAGAAGCTCAGCCACTGCCATCTGTCATTGCAGTTTGATCCCTATGGCATTGAAGCCTCTTTAGCTCTGCCCTCACAGAACTGCAGGACTGGAAGGGAGTCACAGGGTGACCCAGTCCAACCCCCACTGCAGGAATTGCAGCTAAACACACTGCCTGGCACTAGAAGACAGCCACGGAGGGCCATGGAATTAATGTACACATTTATACGCCACCTTTTAAGATTAACTCTTTACAAGGCAGCTTACAACATTTATGGACGACAAAAACACCAGAGAGAAAATAACAAGAACCACAATAAGTAGTTTGAAATCTTCCCAAAATCTCACACTCCTTATCGGGATAAGAGAGAAACATCTTATGGCCACCAACTTGGATGGCTTTAAAAGAGGGCTGGACAGATTAATGGAGGAAGAGGGGGCTCTCAGTGGCTGCTAGCTAGCATGGCTGGGCAATTCCTCAACAGTCGGAGGCAGCAAGACTTCTGAACCCGTTGCTGAAAACCACAGGAGGCCGAGGGCTCTGGAGCTGATGTTCTGCTTGCAGGTTTCCCGCAAGGGGCACCTGGTTGGCCACTGTGAGAACAGGAGGCAGGACTGGATGGGCCCCCTCTGGCCTGATCCAGCAGGCTCTTGTTATGGCCTTATGTTTAGCAATGAGTTGATCTCTGTAAGTTGCTTCAAGTCACTTTTGTGAGGAATGACCGTTCTTGTTGCTGTTCTTTGTCTTCAGAAGGGCATCTCACGTTCTGTTTCTCTGGCCAATTGAGCTGGCGACTCTTAGGATTGTGCAACAGTCCCAGGGGAGAGTCTGGAGGCACAGGCTAAAGCTCCACCACCCCAGGCTAAAGCTCAGCAGGCCTGGGGCTGATCGGAGCCCAGGTGGGAGGCTGCCTGTAAGCCACTGCCATGGGCACCCGGATGGAGGGAAGGGGGGATACTGTGTTTTAAATGTTTGGAAGCTGGCCAGAGTGGCTGGGGCAACTCAGCTGGATGAGCAGCATATAAATTAGTAGTAGTAGTAAGAAAACAAAACAGCTATTCCCATCCACCGGGATAGCAACACACCTTCTCTTCCTCCTTCTGTCTCTCTCCTTTGCTATTTTTATGGCTTCCTGTCCATCTACGAGGCAGGCTGACCCCATCCCCCCATTACCTGAGGGGGACAGCCAAGGCTCAGCAGAAAAGGCCACCTGGAGCCCCCAGAAAAGGTGGGGACGAGCCCATGTCTGCCCAGAACCCAAACCAACTCCCCTCCACCCCACACAAAGAGATGCATCCTCCCCACCCCTAGTGCTTCAAGTGTGCTTTGGGGGGTGAAACCACCCCTTCTGCTGACCCCTCCCGGACGCCTGAGGCTGCTTCTCACCGAATGCTCGTCGTGATCCAGGGTCTGTGCCAGGACGGGGCTGAAGGAGAGCGGAGACAGGGCCCCGGGCTTCTTCCTCACGGCTCGGATCTGCAGAAGGGCTCGGAAGGCTGAGGGGGGAAGGGAAGAGGAGCCCAGTCTCATCTCTTGCGCCCGAAATCTGCCAGGGGGCAAGGCACATCATCTTTGCCTCCTACGGGCTGGGCTGTGGGCAGAGTCCGCTGGGAGTTGGGACCCCAAAGCCACCTGTTAGCCACATTGATTGGGGAACACAGCAACTGCTTTTGCAAAGGGAGGCAGGCGGCTTTGACTTAAACAACCTTTCCAGGTGCCAAGGCAGATCAGCTGCTGCCCCAGCAGAGCCTCTTAAAGGGACAGGCCTCAGAAACAGGCATGGGCACCGAACCTGGAATCCTGCAATGCTCCTTAACTCGTGGGGCAAGGCATGTGCATCTTGCTATACCGTAGAAATTGAATCCACGGAGCTCATGTTTTCCTCCTCCATCCCTGCCCATCAGCAAAGAAGAAGAAGAAGAAGAGTTTGGATTTGATATCCCACTTTATCATTCCCCTTAAGGAATCTCAAAGTGGCTAACATTCCCATTTCCTTTCCTCCCCCACAACAAACACTCTGTGAGGTGAGTGGGGCTGAGAGAATGCAAAGAAGTGTGACTGGCCCAAGGTCACCCAGCAGCTGCATGTGGAGGAGCGGGGAAGCGAACCCGGTTCCCCAGATTACAAGACTACCGCTCTTAACCACTACACCACAAAGACTTCCCATGAGAGTTTCACTGAACAGGGGGAACAAATGTGCCCCCCCCTGGCATCATAGGACTGTAGAGTGGGAAGGGACCCCAAGGTCATCTACCCCCTGCAATTAAGGAATCACAGTTGAAGAATCCCTGACAAATGGCCATCGGACCTCCACTTAGAAACCTCCAATGGAAGAGACTGCCACCTTCCAGGGGAGTTGTGGGTTCTGTGAATCCTTCCCACTGTCGAACGCCTTTTCCATCCAGAAATTATTCCTAATGCTTAGTCGGAATCTCCATTCTTGAGACCTGAATCCGCTGGCTGCCAAATCCACCGGCAGCAGAAAACAAGCCTGCTCCATGCAATGAGAATGGCAGCCCCCAGAGGAAAAGGCGTTCCCTCACCTCTGCCCCGCCCCGCCCCCCTGCTACTCACGCAAGCGGCAGATGGGGCAGTTGTTGGCCTGGTAGCGCAGGGTGTCGGCACACGAGTTGCAGAGGCAAAGGTGCCTGCAGGGCAGGATGAGGGTGTCCCGCAGGTCAGAGAGGCACACCACACACTCGTTGCTATTGTCACTGTTCTCATCATCACAGGGCTGCAGCGGAGGGAGAGGGAGACAGAGAACTCACTGGATGTTCCTGTGGCCCAGCTCAGCATTCAGAATCCTCGCTGTACCGCAGAAATCCAGGGGCCCCTTTCCGGACTCTGATGGACAGAACCACCCAACCCAACACTACTGGCAGCAGGTGGCAAGATCAAGCCTACCCAGAACAGCCCCCAATTTTGGACCTAGGAGGCACACACTCACAAGGTGCCTTAGCAGGATTTGGCTTAAGCAGATGCCGGAAGAAAGCCACAGCTCTGAGCTGTTGCTGTGGGTCAATAGACAACTTCTCTCCCTCTGGAGAGCAAAAGCCTCAAAAGGGAATGTTCAAGGGAGAACCTCTGCTTACTCCCCTTTTAGACAGAGGGATGCGCTCCTCTCATGGTCTTTGACTGCCTTGCAGCCCTGGGAGAGTTGATGGCCTCCCCTTCCTCGCTCCCTCCTCACCTTAGTCTCCTGGTTGTTCTTGTTCTCAATGCCATAGATCTCCTGAAGCAGGTAACTGACCCGGTCCACCTGTGGGGAAGCAGGAAATGCTGCTTGCTTCTTTTTTAATTGTTACTCTTAACTACTACTACTACTACTACCACTACCACTACCACTACTACTACTACTACTACCACTACTACTACTACTACTACCACTACCACTACTACTACCACTACTACTACTACTACTACCACTACCACTACCACTACTACCACTACCACTACTACTACTACTACTACCACTACCACTACTACCACTACCACCACTACTACTACTACTACTACTACCACTACTACTACCACTACCACTACCACTACTACTACTACCACTACTACTACTACTACTACTACTACCACTACCACTACTACTACTACTACTACTACCACTACCACTACTACTACTACTACTACTACCACTACCACTACTACTACTACTACTACTACCACTACCACTACTACTACTACTACTACCACTACCACTACTACTACTACTACTACCACTACTACTACTACTACTACTACCACTACTACCACTACTACTACTACTACCACTACTACCACTACTACTACTACTACTACTACTACCACTACCACTACTACTACTACTACTACTATTATTTCCACTAGGATATTCTAGGCGGCTTGCAATGGAAGTTAAACACAACATGATACAAATACACAGCTGAAAACTAAACACGAAGAAACAACCATCTAAGGCAAATGAGAAAAAAGGATGGAAACAGGTTGGAAACCAAAACCAGAATAATAAAAGGGCAGCAATGTGCTCTTCATTGAGCATAAACACAAGTCAAAAGAACCTGGCAGCTGCTGGCTAAGCCAAAGGAAGCGCATGTGGCCCCACAGTCTGTCCTCGGAGTGGCCAATCAGACGACTCTGGGAACCCCATAGGCAGTACAGGGAAGGAACAACACATCAATGGCTACTTGCCACAATGGCCATGTTGCACCCCCACTGTCAGAAGCCCCATGCACCTGAACACTGGCTGCTTGAAAGGGGAGGGGGAGAACTCAAGTCCTGCCTTTGGGCTTCCAGAACAGGCATCTGGTCGGCCACTGTGAGAACAGGGTGCTGGACTAGATGGGCCATTGGCTCTTCTGATGTTCTTATTTGGGACTCACAACAAATGGTATGGATTCAGAGGCACATTGCCTTCAATCCTGTGGACATCATGCCTAGTACCCACAGAGAACTTTATCATCTGTGAATCTGCCTAAACCTCCTTTTAAAAAAACCGGTTTAAATACTTGTATTACACATTCTCAGTGCAGTAAAACCAATGGGCCCTGCTAAGTTGGGTAGTGGGAAAGGGGTCAGGCCTCTCTGGGATGTCAGCCAGCACCTCTGCCAATAATAATAGTAATAATAGTAATAATAATAATAATAAATTTTATTTATACCCCGCCCTCCCCAGCCAAGACCGGGCTCAGGGCGGCTTACACCAAATATAAAAACAATTGATTGAAACACAGCTTAAAAAAAACAAGATTAAGCCACATTCTTGCAGACAGACAAAGACTCACGATCTGCTTCTGCTTCAAAGGCTTCACTGAGAAACTGCCATCCACATGCTGGTGAGGGGAAAAGACACGGGAGAGATAGGTTGGCACATTTAATATGAAAAGTCTTCAGCCGCTTGCTAAGCAAACCCTCCTTCCATGCACAGACCCACTTGCATTTTCAGGATTTATTCTGATTACACAATCCAAGCTGTCAGATTCTGCAGATTTCCCCATTCAAAGCACCAAACAGAACAGGGCAAGAGAGAAGCAAAAAGGGGCCCTGCAAGAGAGGCTGGAGCCACGGAGAAGGCAAGGCAATGTCTCTCCCCTCTGCCAGCGCTGTTAGTCCAGCAACCACCCAAAGCCATCTCCTGCTCAGATGGGGCAAAGGGGGGCTTCTTACCTTTTCAAAGGCAGCCAGGAGGATGTGGGCATGGCCGGTCACTTCCACGACAACTGCGGGGAAAGCGGAAGGCCCATGAGATCAGGGGCAAGGCGACAGGCAGCCCAAATGCCCCATCAGAGGCCAGGCTACAAGGGAGGAGGATCGGGGCCTGAGTCCTCCAGCAGTAGGACTCTCGAGAATTGGGATTTCCCACCAGCCCAGCTGCACAGGCTACCTAAATGGTCACATGGGCAGCAGAGCTTTCAAGGTGACCAAGGAAGAAGTCGTGCACAATCAATGTATACGATGGAGGTCAGCAGGCGGTTCTGTAACAAGCCCTTTTCTGAACCATTTTCCCTCCTGGTAATTTCCTTTTTTGAGGCGAGGCAACCAGAACTGTACCCAGGTTTCCAAACATGGCATCGCACTAGAGACTGTTTTTGTTCCGACTCCTTTCCTAATGCTCCCTGGCATGGAATTCGCCTTTCTCACAGCTGCTGCCCACTGGGCTGACCTCTTCATCAAACTGTCATGTGACCACAGGCTGGGGGGGGGCTTTCTTGACCCAGGCTACCAGTTACACAAACAGAAGATATTATTTTCGTTTTCTCTCCCACGGCATGATGGGAAAAGCTAAGAGGGAGCAGCAATAGCTCCTTCAAACAACATTGCCATTGTCTCCAGCTTTATTGACACACAGTCCTTGGCTGAAGACTTCCAGCTCAAGAGATCCCACTATGGAGGCGAAGGAGAGAAGGCTCCAGTTGTTGTTTCCCTCCCAGGGATATCTCTCTGAAGTGTCACAGATGAAATCAGCGCAGTGTTTCCCAAAGTGTGATCTGTGTATCCGCAGAGGCACACAAAAGGGTTTCCAAGGATTCACAGCAGAATTTGCTCTCAGCTAGATAAATCAGCTGAGGAAGCTCCTGCAGCCAATCGGAAACCACAGAAGCCGTGTCAGACGTTCAGCTTCCAAAAATAGTTTGCAAACCAGAACAGTCACTTCTGGATTTGCAGTGTCCGGGAGCCAAAACATCTGAGAACTAAGCTGCTCGAAAACCAAGATTCGACTGTATTATTAAAACTACCCAATTAATAACAACAACAACAACAACAATAAGGTGGTAGCTTTAATAATTCTTTATAAATAGCTTTATATGTAAAATGTTAAATGTAAAAAATACTTCTCCTGAGAAAGGGTACATCAGTAAGACTAAATTCTCAAAAAGGGATATGCAATTATTCTAAGAATAGGAAACACTGAAGTTAATCTGGTAACACTGCTGCCGATCCAAATCTCTTGGGCTACGCGGGTCTTTTGCTTGGCTTAAAGAACAGGCCTTCTTTAGCACAGAGCCTCTCCTGTGTCCCAGAAGACGCATTTGAACAGGGAGACAGTCCCAGATGGGAACAGAAGGTGGAGGTGGCATGAGCCAAATCCTGCCCAGGAACCAGCAAACCAGTTCCCCTCCTGCTCGCTGCTCAGCCCCAACACAGAAAACCTAGCATGGTGGAGACCTTTTCCAGGACTGTCTGATTCCAGCGCAGCCTGGCCCATTGGGAAGGCCACTCCAGCCTCTGGGCCAAACCCTGCTGGTGCCCCTGAGCCAGCCCAATTGCTTCTGCTTCCCAGGGGCACAAAGGCAAAGGGGGGAAGCAGGTGTCTTACCGTCGCCTTCATCCACCACAGCCTGGATGACGACGGGGAAGATGCCGCGGTCCAGATCAAAGTTCAGCTGGAAGGAAGGAGCAAACAGAAGGATTAGTCCGGCTGGTAGGAAGTCCTGTGGCTTTCCATATGGAACTCCTCCAAGGAAGAGGTGTCACAAAAACCTCCTTTTGTGGGGGGGGGGGGAGAGAAAGAGATACTTTTTTGTGGTTATCACAATGGCCTGGAGGCCAGAACAGGATGGGAAGGAAGGACAAGCAGCCACTCAGCTTCCTGCCCTCCTTCCACCCCCCCTTGGAAGATCTTTAGTTCATTTCCCAGCACCTTTATAAATTTGTTCTTGTGCTGATGACACCACAACTGCTTTGCTTTCAACCCCCCCCCAAACCCCCAGGAGCAAAATCATTAAGACGGGGGAGGCAGGAGGGAGAAAAACAAGCCTATGTGACTCCGCTAAGCTAAAAGACCCAAATCTGGGAGACACTAAGAGGCCAGGAACGTCACCTCGTCATCTTTCCAGTCTGAAAAGTCTATCTTGAAGGATGGCAGCGAGAACTGCTGGCTGACTCCTCGCTTGTAATGCACCGTTTCCGACTGCAGAGAAGGGTTCTTTGTGCTGTAGCTGCGGGCAGGGAGAAGAGGAGAGGCTCAGCATCACACCCAGAGGCAGCTCCTGGGTTCTCACGGGCCACATCCAGCACCCTTCTGTGTCATGGCGAAGCACAGGCCGAAAACAACGGAAGCCACAGCAAAGCATGTCATGTGCATGTGGACCTGCCTCATGCAGCCACCTGCTGCCACCCCAAGCTAAGCTAGCACATTTCTGGACATAAAGAAAAGAAGGGTGTCTCCAAACTACCCCAGGGTGCAGCTCTCAGTGGTGCAGGGATGCCAGACCTTGGAGATGGCAATATATTTTTCTGCTGAGCCAAGCTGGTGAATTTAAAAGCTAAGGTCCCCATCCCTTCACCTGGTTCGCCAGCAACAACTGTTCCAGAACAGGGATAGCCTGACCACTGTATTCCATGCACTGGTAACTCAAGGTTGGACTACTGCAATGCACTCTTTGTGGGGCTGTCCTTGGACCTGGTTCAGAAGCTCCAGCTGGTGCAGGATGTCTAGTCAACAACATGGGGCTCCATTGCTAAAGCCCGTCTACTATTGAGCCAGGTTCAAGGTCCTTGTATTCACTTACAAAGCCCTGAACATCTTAGGTCCAGGGTACCACAGAGATCGCCTAATCCCTTATAGCCCTGCTCATTTGAGGAGATTATGTGCAGGAGTGTCGCTGGTCATTCTCCAAGCTTGCAAGGCTCATCTGACAACAACACGAAACTGAGCCTTCAGTGTCATCGGCCCAGTCCTGTGAAACTCTCTGCCACTGGAGATCAAGCAGGCGCCTTCTGTTCCAACCTTTAAATGCCTGCTGAATATTCTATTCTGCCAAGCTGATGAGGGCAATTAAAGGTACATCTTTCCACAAGAGTTATCTGACGTCTGATTTTAACTTTTCTATATGGCTTTTATTGTATGGCTTTATGTACTACTGTTGTAAACTGCTTTAAAAAATGAAACAGCTGTGTGTAAATACTTCTTTAAATAAAATAATACAGAACTATGGGTGGGTGAAGACGATGTCTCCAAAAGACACACGATCCCTTTGACGGGCTCCCCACAAGGCCCCTCACTGCCAGGGTCCCAGCACTCACACAGCCATGCCGCTAATGAACTCCTCCGTCGCTTGGCAGTAGATGGTTATTGCAACGCGTGCGTCGGCATCAAAGGTGAATTCCAGGCTGTACAAGGCCTTCTGCTTCCCGTTCTCCTCAGTGGGGCTGTCAGCGTCCTCTTTGTACCTGATGTAAAGGGAGGCTGAGTCACGGCAGGTGAGCTCAGACATTAAGCTTGCTGCAATCTCTCACCTGGCGCAGAAACTCAATCCTTGAGCCGTCTCTGTTTCTTTATTACCACCCACCCACTCAAACTATCTTCACAACTATCACATTTCCAGCTCTCCTGATGGGACTGTCTAAAATGCTTTCTAAGATACGCACAATATTTATTACACTAATGGTTTTATTATATTAATGGTTACCATTATTATTATTAGATGATCTCTGAAGCCACGTATGCCATGAAACAATATTATCACAAAAAGATTATACATAATAAACACCTGATCTTCAGGAGACAGACTCCTCTGCCTCCTTGCCTCTATTCATGTTCCCCTGCCCAGATTCCTCAAGCCCCTCAACCCATCCCTCTCAATCCCTCCATTTTGGCCAGAATTAGAAACAAGCAAAAGCAAGGTTTCAAACCACCTGCTTTCTAGATCTTGCCTATCTCCAGATTTTCACAATTCACTGCAAGTGTGGAATGTGATACTAAGCACAACCTTTGTTGTAACTCAAAACACCCCCCCACTTAAAATGCTCTGTTCAGCAGCACACTAAGACCAGGACAGACAAAGGAAGCCTCCCTCTTCAGCTCACAATCAAGAACTCACAATAAAAAATAAAAAAGGAAGCCTCTGAATGTCAGAAAATCAAGCAACATGCTCAGACGGAAAGAAGGCAAGTTAAGCACCTTCTTTGCAAAAAGACACAATTTCAAACCTTTCCCCCCCACCCCCCGTGCCAACTCATCACAGAGTCTGCATTTGAAGCTCCTTGGCCTCAGCAGAGCATAGGCTAAGGCAGCTGTGATTCCACCCTGGCCCCCTGAAAAGTCTCACCCCATAGGGGTTTGGGTCTGCAGTACCTGACCAGGCGGAGGGAATCTTTGCGGATATTCACCAAGCTGCGCAAGGTCTTCACTGGTTCATGAGGTGCTGGGGTTACATAGGGAAACTGGAATGAAAAACCAGGAATGTCTTGAGAAAGCACACACAAAGCAAGGGGGAAGGTCTAGAGGAGGACGTGAGGGGGGCAGGCCACTCTCCACCCCCAACACTGGCACAAACTGGCTCTCTCCACATGCACACACAGGAGGAAACCTCCACGCAGGGTTGTCTGCTATTCCTGGAAGGGTTTGAGCCAGAACAAAAAAGGGAGAGCTGTACATATTCAGCAATCAGGGGTCCACTCTCCCCCAATTGAAATCCACCAGTATTTCTCACTTTGTTTTTCTGAACCCCATTCAACCTCAGGGAAAAGTTGTTTAAAAACACACACCTGCAACCCTTCGAATTAAGAGGTCATAATTCAGGTGAGATCCTGTGAGGACACCCTACTCTGACCTGGCAGGCTCCAGCTGTTTGGGACAACAGCAACCCCCATCCAATGGCTGTGATGGGGGCTGTGATCTGAAACAGCTGGCTGGCTGGTGCTCCCCCTCCCCCCAGTTCATTTCGGTGCACCAAAATTATGAGTACTTGCCTGGACCGGCCTGTTGCCAAGGAAGTTCAAGTCCATGTTCTCCCCAAAAAGGTAGCCCTCAGGGTGTGGCGTGTCAAACTTTTCACCTCCCATGAAAAAATGACTGGCAAAGTAGTTCCCTGAAGAGAAGGCAAAGGCCTGGTTTTACGTGTGTATTTATTACATTTTTAACCACCGTCGTCCACACAAGGATCTCAAGGTCATCGTATAGAGTTCTTCCCACACCCACCCACCCATTTTATCTTCACAACAACCCTGTAGGGTAGGGCAGCCCAAAGTCACACAGTGAGCCTCACAGTCGAGAAAGGACCTGCACCGCAGATCTGGCACAGATGCCAAGGGCACTGGCAGGACTTTGGCACAAGGCGGGGCTCAGCAGCCTCTCTCTGGAGTGGGAGAGGGCAGACATCCACACCAGCTGGCAGCCAAAAGCTACACTTGCCCCCCACCCCAAGATTTGTGGAAGGAGCCCCTTTTGTGGGCTGTGCAATGCAGGCATACAACCACCCACCTTGCTATTTGGCAGGTGCCTGGAAGAAGAGAGCTGGCAGGCAGGCAATATGTGGGGAGGGAGAGAAGAGGAGGGGGCAGCCCACTGCTGCCGCCTAGCAATGGCTCAGAGGAGGGAGGGGCACGCCATGATAAGAACATTAGAAGAGCCCAGCTGCAGTTGGATCTGTTCCGGAATCCTGCTCTCTGAGTGGCGAACCAAAGGGAAGCCTGCAAGCAGGATCCGAGGGCAACAGCTCCCGGGGCACCCACTACAGCTGTACATGGGGGTGGGAAGAGACACCCAGGTAACCCAGTTTCCATCAGTGAGCAGTTCTGGGAAGCTCACAAGCTGGGCATGAAGATGGCCCCCTCACCAGAGACTCAGAGGTAGGCTGCCACTGAGCACAGAGGCTCCATTTTCAGCTGTTCTGGTTCATAGCAGCTGGGGGGGGCATCACAAACACACTGGAGCAAAACTCTGCAAACATCCCTGTTCCGCCAGAAAGCAGACAAGCGAGACATGAAATTGACAGCCCTCTCTTTGACTCCAAGACCAAGGGGCACTGAGGAGCCCTTGGGACCAGTGGCTATTTATTTATTTTATTTCACAAAATTCATACGCCGCTTGATTATAAAGAACTCCAAAAACTCGACGTGGCTCACACAGAAAATAATAATACATTACAATCATCCGGGAAAAGCCACTCTTTGAAATGTTCAAACGATTAAAAACCAGCAATGACATTTGCAGGTGTTTTCTTTCCTCTCTGCCCGTTTGACTGGCCCCTTTGCAGTGGCTGGCTCCCCCAGGGGGGGAAAGGGGAGCTATGCTCAGGTGGTCTCCTGGCTTCTCAGAAGAGGCACCTGCCACCAGGCTCTTCTGATGGGGGGGGGGGGCTTCTGGTCACGTTTTGGGGTGGGGATCAGGATGGCAGAGTTTGGAGGGAAAGCCAAGGGTCCTCTCGTCCTGGATGCCCCTCTGTTTCCAGGCTCCGTTCAACGTGCTGCTGTGGACCTTTCAAGGGCCCAAGACCGCAATCCCTCCAGGCGAACTGGCCCAGAGGGCGGCAGCAGCAGGGGCCTTTTTGGTGGTGGCTCCCCTTTCCTGGAGCGCTCCCCCAGGGAGGCCAGCTGGTGCCTTCCTCACCTGCATCTTCAGGTGCCAGGCAAAAAGGCTCTTTTTACCGTGGGCCTTTTAAACTGCGCTCTCGCACAATGGACATGCAGTATATTGAAAAATAATGAAACCAAGGAAGGGACTAGACTGAAGGGGTCAGCAAACTTTTTCAGCAGAGGGTCGGTCCACCATCCCTCAGACCTTGTGGGGGGCCAGACTAGATTTTTTTTTTGGGGGGGGGAAGAATGAATTCCAATGCCCCACAAATAACCCAGAGATACATTTTAAATAAAAGCACACATTCTACTCATGTAAAAACACGCTGATTCCTGAACTGCCCGCACGCCGGATTTAGAAGGCGATTGGGCCGATCCGACCCCCGGGCCTTAGGTTGCCTACCCATGGACTAGACTAGAGCATAGCTGTCAACGTTTCCCCTTTTTTAAAGGGAAATTCCCTTATTCCGAATAGGATTCCTCGCAAGAAAAGGGAAAGGTTGACAGCTATGGGACTAGAGGGAAGTCAATTTGTTTTGCTTTGGTATTGTTACTGTTACTGTTATTTCTTGAAAATCAATAAATGGCTATTAAAAAAAATTAAACTGCGCTGTTGCTTTGCGATGCCCTTCCGCGATGCCAAACGCCCGTGCGATCCTCAGGGGGAATGAACGGCGGCGGCAGCCCCAGCCCCTGCAATGCAGGAATGGCAGCCAGAGGGGCCCCCAGGGGTCATCTAGCCCAACCCCCCGCGACCCAGGAAGAGCCCCGGCGGCCGCTCCGAGAAACGAAGCCGCTTTTCCTCTCAGGCTGCTGGGAATAACAGGGAATAACCTGTGGGGTGGGGGAGGGGGAGAACCCCCCACAGAAACTGGGGAAGGGAAGCTGAGGAGAAAGAGGGGTCGCTACTACCAATATCACCATTATTATTATTATTATTATTATTATTATTATTATTATTATTATTATTATTATTATTATTATTATTATTATTATTATTATTATTCCTTTCCCGGGGCTCTGGCCCCACCAGGTGCGGGGGCGGCGGGCTCGGGCCTTACCGGACTTGGGCGGGTACCGGTAGGCCGAGTTGGCCTGGATGTCGATGTCCTCCACGCCGGCGATGCGGCGGCTGAGCAGGGAGCCCATGGCGGTCGGCGGGTCTCGTCGGCGAAGCCTCTTCTTCTCCCTCAGCGAAGCCCCCTCAGACACTCCGTCAAGGCGGCGAGGCCTGCAGGCCGCTCCTGCGCGGGGCACCACGGGAAAGAGAGTCCTCGCGCCCAGGCCCTTCGCGTGGTTCGCCGCGGAAAGGGAGCCCGTCAGCGGACTACAACCCCCAGGAGGCGCCGCGCCGCGCGGGGAGAAGAGAAAAACACAACAATGGGAGGGCGTGGGAAGCGCGGGGCGGGGCCTGACCCTCAGCCAATGGCAGCGCGGGACGGTAGAGATAGGAAAATGTAGAGCTTCCAATCTGTACGTGGCGGGGGGGAAGTGAAGTTAGTTTATTTAGCTCAGATTCCTCGCGCTTGGTTTTTAGGTCAACCTGAAAATTCAGTAAGAATGTATTTGCTTTTGTAAAATGTAGTTTAACAATTCAGCTGTTTATGGAAGAATGTAGAGTTTCCCACCCTGAACTGAGGGGGAGACATCCTAGTATTAATTACTCTTGAGAGTCCCATGGACTGCAAAAAGATCAAACCTCTCCATTCTGAAGGAAATCAGGGTCAATTTTTATGGTAGCCCAAATCTCAGTTGTACGGGTGTAGGTATATATCTCAATTTTAACTCATGAGCTATTGATGCAATCTGCTCTGATTGTACATTTTATCTTTAGGAACACTGTTTTTATTGTGTTATGCGCGCTGGTCTTTGACCGCAATAAATAATCTATCACCCTGATGTTGGGAAAGACGGAGGACACAAGGAGAAGGGGATGACAGAGGACGAGATGGTTGGACAGTGTTCTCGAAGATACCAGCATGAGTTTGACTAAACTGCAGGAGGCAGTGGAAGACAGGAGTGCCTGGCGTGCTCTGGACCGTGGGGACACGAAGAGGCGGACATGACTAAACAACAACAATTTCTGTCCTGTTTTTAAAGCCAACATGAAATATACTCTGAGTTGAGTGTGGATTTCATGCTCTTTATTCAGCTCATAGTAGAGAGGAAGGAATGGAAGTTTTCCCAGAATGTCTGCTTTATATACATTATTTACACAATGGGCTGCACGTGATTGGCTAATTCCGGGATTCTCCTTTAGGTCAATCAGGTTGCAGATTCACTTCCACCTGGAGCTTGATTGGGTGGCTTCTGCAGACCAATCACACTGCTGCATTCTGGATCCTATTGTTCTAGGACCAATCAGACTGCTGCATTTTGGATCCTATTCAAGTCAGTACATAACACAACTTGACAACTCAATAATTAAAAAACGGTTAAGCAGAACTTAAACTTTTCCATACGGTATATATTGTTACAGCCCATCCCAGTCCCCACCAAGCGGTGCGCGAGATTGCAGGGGCTCCAGGCGCTTGTCCTGGGCTCGTATCACCAGGCTGGATGACAGCTGACAGAGCGCAGGACACGTGATTCCTGCACTGCGAGGGGTTGGGCTAGATGGCCCCTGGGTTTCCCTTCCAACTCCACAATTCTATGCTTCTGTGAAAGTCCTGCGCAAGAGCCCAGAAATGCAGGCCTCGGCCGAGGACCCTCCTCACTCGCCCGCCCGCCCTATAAACTGCGCGCAGCAGCGGTTCCGAAGCCGCCAGGAGCCGCCCTTTGCCAGACTGGCCGGATTCCCTGCCCTGGAGCCGCCACGTGATGGGGACCCTCCCTGCGCCCGCCTCCTCTGCAAGCTCATTGGCCCTGCCCGATAGTCCTTTTACCTAATATGGCAAGGTTGCCCGCGCAGGATCTTTGCTCACTGGTTGGCTCCACCTGTCAGTCCAGCTGTATCCGTTCCCGCCCCGCAACAAGTAGGACAACAAAGCAAAGGCTTCTGGGTAATGTAGTCAACCCAGCGCTAGAGAAAGCGGCGGGGCGAAGAATTGGGACCCTCAGGGGGTCCAACCCCCTGCAATGCAGTACATAACAGCAGGAATCACAGAGCAGAGATCTCGCCTGGATCTCTCTAAATCAAGTGAAGTGGCTGAATTAAACCAATACCTTATTGATTTCCTCCTGCAGCACCATCATTCGTCATCATTAGCATTAATAGTGTGACTCTGTATTCCTTGCACAGATTCATATTATTTTATTTTGTATATAGATATACATAAGTAGTACAATGATAATTATTGGAAGTTACATATTTTAATTTGTCATGTAAGTGTAATATATTGTATTTGTTTGTTTTTCTAACTTTTCTTACTTGTTTTTATTCTTTTGTATTATATGTTATGTATATTTGTCTATGTGAAAATTAATAAAGATTTTCTTTTAAAAAAGCATTAATAGTGTGACTCTCCTGCCCATAATCTTGGAGGAGAGCACAGGGCGCCGCCACAAAGGAGGCTCCGCAAAGGAGTCTGTGGAAGAATGGCGTGGCAGGGGCTGCGAAGGGCTATGAACGGGCCCATCCATCCTGTTATAAGAAAAAACTGCTCCTTTTCCCTTATGTGGCACCCAAGAGCCCATATAGGGTCCTTATGTAGGTTCTCTATCGGTCGGAGAAAATAACACAGGCCAAGCAGAGAATATTGAGAAGCAAAGCAGCTAGTAAGACTGATCTTTATTAAACTGTTGCAACAGAGTGCTCAGAACCACACGCAGGAGGGAGTAGAGGAACCCAGAACAATAGTGCACAAGCTCTGATATAGACTTTTGAAATTGCCCACACTGTAGGCTGTCGCCGGAAACCCCCCCCCAACTCACCGACACGTGTTACACAAGCACCACACTCACACACGCACACATCTCCCCCCGACCCTGGAGATGTTCCCTTTAGAGGGCCATCCCTTAAAGCCTTCCGTAAATAAGGAAGCGCTAGTTTGACAGCTTCTCGCCATAGCGCTCCGCACGGCCCTATTTTTATTGTGAGTAGACCGGCCGACCGAAATTCCGCTGTCAATCGGCGCCCGCCTCAGCCAATCAACATTACCGAACAGCGCCCCTTGCGGCGGCCACGCAGGTACTGCAGGCTACTACCGCTTTCCCCCTTTCCCTTGACAGCTCTCAATACAAGGTTTCCGAGTTCAATTGACCGTGACTGATCTAATCAAAATGTAGCAAGCCGCTTCCTGAAGGCGAAAGTGCTTTGAACTTCAAAGACAATATTCTTCATAAATTCACTAAAAATCAGCCGTACTTCGGATTTTCACCGGACCACTTTTATTCTGCTGGATATTACAGAGACTATCAAAGGGGGGTGGTCCGAAATCAAGCGGCCATAATCCCTTAACCGAGCAGTCACGTACTCTGTGTTCCTTCCTACTAGACGTGACCACCTTGATAGCCATCAGTGATGGGCTCAGACAGGAGGCTATCAAAGACACAATGAACTGCATATCTTGGTGTATTCCGCGCAGACACACACATAAGACTGTGATCGGACTCTCCTCAGGGGGCAGGAAACTTCGCCCTCTTCCTTTGTTTCTATATATGACTCATGCGGGGAGGGGGAAGGGGGCTCCGGCCAGGTGTCAGGACACTCGGGTTACCTGTGCCGCCCCTCCCCAACTCCTCCTATTTTTAATATAATCGTGATGTAAATGTGATGTAATTCTGAGGGTGTAGCTTAGGGGATTAGCAAGTAATAAAAGTTAGGGTCTCCCTTTGTTCGGGGCTTCCATTTTGCTTCACCTTGTGGGCGGTGGGAGTCCTGTCGCGACAGTCTTTCTAAATAAAGACCGAGCCTACTGGCTGCTGTTTTGCTCTGACTTGCTCTGGTCGGTGTCTTCATTTGCCCAAGAGGACCCTTGAATTTCCGTTAACAGTTGGCGACCGCGACTCAGGGACACTTGGTTCTCCTGTAAAGGTGAGAGGGGAGATAGAAGGGATCGGGCGCCACTGGGCAACCTTAGCCCGGGGATCCTTCTTCCTCTCCCTGCCTCCTCTTTGCGGGCGGTAATCAACCGTCACCAGAAGCCCGACCAGAGGGAGCAAAGGCGAGGTAAAGCCGGCTAAAGGAAAGGATCCCGGGATCTGCGGGGGACATCTGCGAACGTGAGTATGGTTTGAAGAAAATACAGAGGGAGGGGGGTTGGAAAGGAAATATCTCCACGACAGCCAGACTTTCTTCTTTCATTTCTGACGTTACCCTAAACTTTCCCTTCTCTCCCCCGATTTTCCCCTTCGGAAAGTGGCCAGGGAAATCGTGGTACTTTTACTGGTTTTCCGGCGTTACCTCTCGGAGTCGTCCAGGAACGCCTTAATCTCTTCCTCTCTCCTTTTCTCCCCCGTTTTCCGTCTTGGAACTGAATCCGGGAAAGCGTGGCTCTTCTACTATTTTCCCTGACGTCCCTCTCTCGGAGTCGTCCGGAGGCGTCTTTTCAAATATTCTTACCTTTCTCTACCTCACCCATGCAAACGAAGCCGCCCCTCCTGCCTGGCGACCTTTGTTAGGGATGACCCGGGTACGTGAGAACGCAAGGTCGTTTGTTTTCCTTTCAAACTTTGGTTCTTCTCGGACCCCGATCTGACATTGCACTACGCAAGCGTTCAGTAGGGAATTCCGAACCTAGTCTCAAAGGATAGGCAGGAGGCTGTCGTGGAGAGTAGAAGGGGTGGTTCACAAATTGGGGCCCCACACTAGGATTAGTCTCGTGAACAGCGCTGAGGTAGTGAGAAAAGAAAATAGATGTCCTGAAACTTTCTCGGGCCAAGGTGTCCCGTGGCAGACGGGCCAAGGTGTCCCGTAACTGAACCTTTCTCGGGCCAAGGTGTCCCGTGGCAGACGGGCCAAGGTGTCCCGTAACTGAAATCTTCTCGGGCCAAGGTGTCCCGTGGCAGACGGGCCAAGGTGTCCCGTAACTGAAATCTTCTCGGGCCAAGGTGTCCCGTGGCAGACGTTTTCTTAAGCTCATTCTTGAGGTTTTCTAGAAACAAAATTGTATTCAAAAGATAGGAACGTTCAAAATACTGAAAAGAAATTTTCCACTTTCCCTTCTTCTTCCCGTCCTCTCTCTCTTCCCCTCGTGTGTGTCTCTACCCCCTCTATCTTTAACGTAGGAAGAATGGGAACCCAGGCTTCCAAACATTCTGACTGGGCTCCTCCAGGCGATAAGGCTTTCGCGAAGCCTTCCCGCCAGAAGGAGGACTCCGATACCCCTCTCCAA